CGACCCTCGTGAGGATTAAGCGGTGTATAGATAATGGATGGATGGATGTTAGTTTAGCGTGTTAACTAATCGGCGCTAAACACAGAGTCCAGCTAAGGCTACCTCCTTATTCTTTATGATGTTACTTATTGTTTTTTAAGGATGCTCTTCAATAATGTCCTTGACGAACAGTTTCTTTGCATTTCACTGCACATATGCTGTATGAGCAAGTGACAAATAAAACCTCTTGAATTTTGAGGTTGATGAAGTATTTGATCACAAACCAAAGATTTTGACCTGATGATGAGATAAAAAGTCAGACCAAACGTCTTTAAAACTGTTGATATATTTCAGTCTATGCCAAGGTAAGACTGGCCGAGCAATAGATCAACTTTAGTTTATATTGCGTCTCACTTCCCAGTAGTACAATGCAATTTATGTGAAAATTGCTACAATCTCATATGAGTATAGTTTGCTATTTGCCACCATATATTTTGTCATTTTGTTGTGCAGATCCACCACAGTATGTAAAAATGTCTTCTCATGGTTGCATTTTGGAAATACCTTTAATCAAATCTGCAACAGTCGTGCAGCTGAACAGTCAGTGGTAAACACGTGAGCTCCTGTGTGCATACACAGCCTAATAAATATTACACATGGAAGTATGTGTTTGAGCTCATGTACTGTGCATAATCTTTGTTTGCTTAGCTGACATACAGTCCACCCAGGTCTTAGTGTCAGTGCAGACTTATCAGAGCAGCTTTATCACCTCTTCAAACAGACCTCTTTTGTAAGCTCTTGAACTTAAGCACACACACACACACACACACAAACAATGCACTTATTCCACGGAATTCAAAGTTGAAGCACGATTGCTTTTTTAAAGATACGTAGACGCGCTGAATCAGCACCATAAACTTTTACTGCCTTGCTTATCGTCTTCTGATTCACCTGTTGTTGAAAATCTCAGCACTTCACTATCTCCTGTTAAACACACAGTGGTCTCACTGAGGAAGAACTTATCATCTTGGATATTTGACACCAAACATGCCTTAGATATAGATAAGGATGCGTTTGTCACTCTTCTGCAAAGATCTGTCAAGGATTGTTCTTATTTTGTCTTTCCTCCTCGTGGCTTGAACTTTTTCCAAACCGATAAATGCCTGTTGTAACTTATATCTACCATCCCGGTGTCATTTTGCTCCATGGAAATGTGCCTACTATGACATCTGGTGCTTCTAATCCCATGCAAATATTCCCAGTGCCACGGATCGCATTTTTAAACATCCATATATATCTCGTTAAAATATACCATACTATAATGAATAATAAATGGAAAAACTAAGAGTAGCTGGGGATATTCGGTATTGATTTCACTCTGGCTTTGTTATTTCTAAATATGAAAACCACATTTCCCACTAAATCCTTTGCTCCTTGTCACAAAAACATGATTTCTGCTTGAAATTTGTTCCCCGTTTGGAAGGGGATTCGCCATCTGTCTTTTATTGTGAGTACAGATTTCCCGCCAAATCTGACCCCACTGCAAATCCGATCAGCACACTTTTATTACTGGCAGCGAATACAGAAATATTATGTATACAAATAAAAAGCTATGTATTACATTTCATATTTGCCCTCCACATCAGATTAAGTCGAACGATTCACTAACTACATTCAGCAGATATGGATTTTGTGCACAGTTTAAACATCGACTGTGACATTGAGGAGATTCAGATGGTCCCTTAAATGGACCTCATGTTTTAGCACAAGGCAGATGTAGGAGGTAACGTTATCTACATCCCCTGATCAAGCACAGAAAGGCAAACTGAGCCAGTCTGCTACAATTAGGCATTGTTTAATCGCAGAAATCAGAGTAATGGATTATAGCACTTTGCAATATTTTAGAAGTCAATCAAGTTTTAGAGCCCTGTTTCGTACATGTTCTCAAAAGGCACAAAGTCTATCTGATTAACACACACCTTCTAATGCATACTGAATAAAAAATATAAACATTTAGTTTTTGAACTGTTCAACTGGTGACAAATTCTAGACCATCAAGTTAATCCACACTGGACAATGATCAGACAGCATTACCGGAGCAAAGACATTTCTTTGACCAGTGACCAATAAAAGTCCACCTTAAAATGCAGCTTTATTCAAACGACACAAAGCCACAGATGACAAGAGAAAGACAAGACTGAACTGTTGACATGTTTGAAAATCCACTACTCTACAATTCGTTGAGCAAGCAAATTATTTCGGACAACGTGGTACGGCAGGTGATCTGCCACCTGATGCTGTGGACTGGCGTGTCTGTGATTCTGCTCCATGTGATGTCTGTCACCTTCACCAAGCCCTTTAGAAAGAGTGGGACAACATTACACAAGCCAGCATTAATGAGCTCATTAAATTAAAACGTTTCAGATGTGTGAATCATTACTGACTTGTGACTTCTGGTCCATAACCCCACTCTCTATCTGCCTGTTATGGTTTCCAATACAGCATATACATGGTTATTTAATGATGTCTGTTCTGTTGTAGAGATGCTGCAACAACAAATATTGCCCTATGTTGAAAGAAAGGATATAATTTAATAAATATATTTCCTGCTAACAGTAGAAAAGCTAGGCGTTTTTGAACTTCTAGCTTTAAAATACTGCTGAGGTTTGTGTATGTACTTGGGTATAGCAGATACAGTCACTACTTCTAGCATGTTTGGCCAGTTATTAGTTTATAAGAACAACTATTGAACTTGCTGAGTGTAAAGAGGGTGATTTACAGATTTACAGAGTGTGGAGGCATTTATTCACATGTGACTGGATGTGTTGAACTCCTCAGTGAATTCCCTCCAAGAATTGTGAAGTTAAAGATGACAACCAGTGAGATACCAGAGTTAAGAAGCTGCCTTCAAATTAAAGGCGTTACGCTGTTTGTCTTAGCATTGATTTAGTGTTTTTTGGCTATTAAATACCATAAACAGTCAGTGTTAAATACATAATTTAGTTCACTTTTAAGGTCTTGATTAAGGATTTTTTTTTTTTTTTAAGTTTGATGATGCTAATACTATTTACTAAACTTGCTACACTTTAGATAACAACAGCCTTTTAAGGAGCTACAAAGCTAAGTGTTTCACAGTCTGAACACCTGTCCTCAGTTACAAACAAAAAAGGTACGCAATTTTACAATAATTAATAATAAAAAAGCTAAACATAACAGAGTAGCAAATAAGTTAAGCTCCAACTCCTAGCTAACATTAGCTATAGCTACAGTTAGCAGTTATGATTAGCTAACATCCGCTAACTATTCTCAGCTAATCTGATACAACAGGCTAAAAATGTTTGAGTTTAAACTTTGAGTTATTAGATGAAAACTAAGTAGTTATTACTAAATGTAATCGGTAGCTATTTTTATGCTGTAGCTGTACAATAAAATGTATTATTATTTTTTTGCACCGTGTCTTTTAACAAACGGACAATACAATTAGCCCTCCGAGCTAATTCGTCCCAGTAATGCTAATTTTATTTATTTATTTATTTGATAAATTAACATCCATCCATTCATTATCTATACATCCATTATCTAGACACTGCTTAATCCTCATTAGGGTGGCTGGGGGGTGCTGGAGTCTATCCCAGCTGATTTAGGGCAAAGGCAGGGGACACCCTGGACAGGTCACCAGTCTATCACAGGGCCACACTTAGAGACAGACAACAGAAAGATCCCGGTGTCCTCACCGGGACACGAACCAGCGACCTTCTTCCTGTGAGGCTACGGTGCAAACCACTGCTCCACCTTGCAGCCCCATAAATGAACATTTCATCTGTAAAATAAACTCCAAAGCTTGCATTATTATATTTTAAAAATTAGACACTGGTAGGATCAGAATAAACACATCCACATACTTTAAATATGTGTAAATAAACATGTTTATTACATGCAAATTGTGCAGCTTCTGATGATAGGAACACATTTTAAAATGATAGAAAATAAATACAGGGTTATTGGCACTTTATATACATGAGGTTGGTGGAAGATACTGCAACAGACCGGCGAGTAATGTTTTAATGAAGTATTAGTATGCATGTGATATAAAGTATGTGCAGTAATTTAGAGTTAGGGGATAAAATAAAGAGTTGTGCCTTCTTAAGTGTCTTGCTACATTACTTATAGGCCTAGTTATATAGCTATCATTGTTGTGTATATATAATGCATTACTTTTCTTTAATAATTACTATTTGGCTGTTTTTGTTGTCCGATCCTCCCCCTATAAAAGACAGCATATAATCTTCCAGAGGATCCATACAAGCTATTTAAGGCAGTTTAAAAAAAAAAAAAAAAAGAAAAAAGCATGAGTGGAAATATTTTACTATGTTGCTGGCCTTCTTGAAAGGTAGGACCGGAAGTGGTGTTTTTCGCTTTACAAACCTGCTCGGCTCTCACCAGCCCTCACCACCACCACAACAGCTGGGGGAGGATTTCCGACCCAGTCACAGCGAAGATGGTGGCAGCTACAAGAGTGGAGAGATCACGTTCACCGGGATAAAAGTGAAAAGCAAAACAGCCTAAAAAAAAAACTCTCGCTGTGTCTGCTTTTGTTTACCTCCCGAAAAAAAAAAAAAAAGAAAGAAACTCCAGCAGAGAGCTGGAGCGGAGGGGGGAAAGGGTGGCAACCAGCGACGGACGGAAGAGGACGCACCACAGCCAGAGCGCACAGTGTTGTGTTTGTTGGACACATGCATGCCAGCGAAAACTAGAGCTACCCAGACGTACGGAATCGGTGGAGATAAGGAGACACCGCTGTCAGTGGGGCGGTTTTGTTTTTTTTTTTAAATTTTCCTCTTCTTTTCTTGTTGATAATCCCACTGAGGAGATCCGAGAGGGGTTTCCTGTATTGCTCCTGGGATTTTCTCCTTCTTTGCTCTGAGGGAATGCGAGGGGAGGAAATCCAGCCTCAGCTCCAAATAACCAGAGACTCCTAACTGGGTCTCCTCTCCAAACGCAGGAAATACGGCCTGGGAAAAAAAAAAAAAAAGTTTGGGAGCTTTTGGAAACGAGAAGGGGGGCCTATCGGTGACGCTTTGCACGCGTTTTACGACTTGATTTTTAACTATTTTTTTCCCTCCTCCTTTGGCATTAAGCGCTCCTGCTGCTCCACAGGAAGAAAAAAAAGGCTGGAGAAAACGCGTTCAGATGTTAACACGCCGTCGGTGTTGTTATTTGCAAGGAGTTTTGATCATCACTATTTATAGACCAGCCTGTTCCGACCGAGGCTGTTCCTCATAGCTGTATGTTTTGCCAACTGCGCGCAACAAGTTGCAGACACTCCCAGCAGAGGCAAACCTACGCTAATTTGGGTCAGCGGATGGTATTTTCTGCTCTTCTCCCCTCTGATCATGCGTCTTTGAACACAGCATACCCCTCCCCGAGCCCCTCTTTGGAAGGCAGACGGGGGAATAAACGGTGGAGATCCGGAGAGGGAGTTCAGGAAAGGACGGGGCTGGATCCGTGGGAATAGGCCTGCCTGTCAGGCCTCCTATGATCTGGGTCTTGGACTGGACAGGGCTCCAAAATAACTCTGGAATATTTTTTTTTTTGCAAAGGCCCCGCTGGAGCAAAGATGGAAGGAGAATGTATGGGAATAAGAAATGCAAATCCTCGCACACTGAGCCATGCATGAGAATGGATGTAGTGGAAGGTAAAGCTGCCTTAATTACAGATCACCCACTTTTTTAATGAACAGTTTTCACCCATTTTGCTGCTGTTATACATATATATATTTTTTTAAAGCAAAACATTAACTGCCTATACATTTTTTTAAAAATTACTTTTAAAGGCAGATAATTTGCAACTTTTGGTGCTTTACAATTACGCAGCTCATAATGTCCACTTGTTTTTTATTTTGGCACCACTAGCGTTCGCAAGGACAAGATTTGTTTTTTTGTTTTGTTTTTTAAATAAGGGAAAAGGATGCAAAATGGACCATTTGTTGCGCATGTTGTGGAGATAAGAGGGACAGTGTAACTTTTGTAGCCAGTCGCTGTGCACAACGCCAACTGTTGACAGCCTGTATCTACGTAATACATTTGGGCATTTTTTTTCTTTCCCAAGACGGTATCTAACTGACTAAATGTAATGTCAGCAGTATCAAAATATTGCGCACATCCAAAGGAAGTAATTTCCAGTCATGCAACGTCAGGGCTGACCTGATGAAGGCATAAGAAGAAGAAGAAGAAAAAAGAACCCGTTGCATCACTAACCAGTCCTTTTCCGAGAAGGATGTTCAATTCAGGAGGCAGAAAGAGTGATGACAGTGTTTTTACCGCAGCTGGAGAGAAAGCCGGGCTCATACCCAGAGCCTCTTTGGAGAAGGATACATGTAATGTGAGTACTGACGCAAACCCGGGGTCGGATAATGGACTGCTCAAGAAACTGGAACGGCGCGTCTTGTGTGAGTGAGTGCGCAGGCTGCTGTGTGCGTAGCAAATACGTCTGTGCCGTGCTCACCATTCATGCAGTGTGATTATTCCAACAAACACCTTTTGCTCTCTGTCTCCTTCTCTGTTTTGCCCGTTTGTCACTCCATCACCGCCTCCCTCCTCCCCTCTCCTCTCCTCTCCCTCTCTCTCTCTCCGTGCCACACGTGCACACACACGTCGCCCACGCACCTCGTCTAATTGCCTGAGCGCCATCAGAAGATATTATTAATATTTAACACCTCTCTCGTACCACCACCACCACCACCCCCCCTCCACTCTCGTCTCCGCCAGTCAATATGGCCACTCTGCAACATCACCGGCAGCTTCTCATGCATGGCACGGAAGTGAGCTGCGACTCCAGCGGGGATGGCGCCGTCACCGTGCGGATTACCAACAGCGCGCCACACGTGCGTCAACATGAGCCGCTGAGGGCTGCCAACAGTGGAGCCGGAGCAGGAGGTGGAGGGGCTGTGAATAAAGTGAACCCTAACCTCCACAAATACAGCATCTCCTCCAGCTGCAGCTCAGCAGACTCCAGACCGGCTGTGACCTCCGCCTTGAGGGTGCACAAGAAGGCGCCTCCTCTGTTTGAACGCTCTGCAGCCCAGTGCTGGGACCCAAAGTTCGACTCCCGCATCCTGGAGGAGGCGTGCCAAGAGAGGTGCTTTCCTCAGACGCAGCGGCGGTTCCGGTATGTCCTCTTCTACCTGGCAGTGGCAGCTGTACTCTGGGGGGTTTACTTTGGGGTCAACAGTGACCGCTGCAGCCCCGTGGCCTTCCTGGCCCCCACGGCCTCCTTTCTGGTCTTATTAGTGCTCCTGTTTTTGTTCACTTTCACCCAGTCGTACGCGTGGCTCTACAACCAAACCTCCCTGCTGCTCATAGCGGTTACCTTTGCCATCACGTTGGCTCCACAGATACAGACTGCTGGCTATACTGAGCTGGAGTGGGCTGGTGGTGGGAATGCGTCACTGGACAAAGGAACACCACCTCCCTGCATCTCCCCCGTAGGAACATTTTCCTTGTGCATGGAGGTTCTGTTGTTGTTGTACAGTGTCCTACATGTCCGTCTGTATGCCTCTGTGATGCTGGGGCTCCTGTATTCTATATTATTTGAGGCATTAGGGTGGCTGCCATTGCTTCAAAGGAGTTACGACACTACTGGACATGTGTCAGGGTCGGTGGGTTCAAGTTCGGACTGGGAGGAGGACACCCTCCGCTGGCTGGGCCCGGCCAAAGCTCTGCTCCACTTGTGCGCCCACGTCATCGGCATCCACCTGTTCATCATGTCGGAGGTGCGTTCCCGTAGCACCTTCCTCAAAGTGGGCCAGGCCATCATGCATGGCAAAGACCTGGAGGTGGAGAAGGCCTTGAAGGAGCGTATGATCCACTCAGTGATGCCACGGCGAGTTGCAGACGAGCTGATGAAGCAGGGCGATGACGAAGGTGGCGGTGAGAACTCTGGCAAGCGATATTCCTCCGGCGCCTGCTCCGCCTCAGCCGTTTCCGTGGGCGGCGGGGGAAGCGGTGGAGCTTCGCAAGCCCAAAGTGTCACAAACTCCAAGAATAACCCTCACAACAATCACAAACGCAAAAAGACCTCAATCCCCCGCGGGCAGATAATATTTAGACCCTTCAACATGAAACGCATGGAGCCTGTCAGCATCCTCTTTGCAGATATTGTAGGTTTCACCAAAATGTCTGCCAACAAGTCAGCGCCGGCCTTGGTGGGCCTTCTCAATGACCTGTTTGGACGTTTCGACCGGCTCTGTGAGCTAACCTGCTGTGAGAAGATCAGCACTCTGGGAGATTGCTACTACTGTGTAGCAGGCTGCCCCGAACCGAGACCGGATCATGCCTACTGCTGTGTGGAGATGGGTCTGGGCATGATCCAGGCCATCGAGCAGTTCTGCCAGGAGACCTGCGAGACTGTCAGCATGCGTGTCGGTGTCCATACAGGCACCGTCCTGTGTGGGATCCTTGGAATGAAACGCTTTAAGTTTGATGTGTGGTCAAACGATGTCAATCTGGCTAACCTGATGGAGCAGCTGGGTGTGGCGGGGAAGGTCCACCTGTCTGAAGCCACCGCCCGGTTCCTGGATGAGCGTTACCAGAGGGAGGACGGACGGGTGGCAGAGAGAGCCGGGCAGAGCGTGGTGGAGAAACTGAAGGGTAAGTCGCTTTTTATCTCATATTTACAAGTGAGGTCACTGCTTTAAATGAAATTGTGTCACAGAAATCCAAAACAGTCACAAAAAGAGGAGCCCTGGTCTTGAACAAAGATGCATGCACCAATAAGCACCAAATACCTCAAGGAAGGCAGGTTCAATAAAATTACACATTTACCGGACAGAGGTGAACTTTTGTACCTTAGAGTTAGGTCATCAGGTCTGAGTGAGGTCACTGCGTGCCTAGACAGCACTGAAATATGTTATCTGTCCAGTTATTCCTGTTGAGACAGTCTCCCAGTAGCAGCAGGAGATCAGACTACAAGACTATTTGTGCACCAAAAGGAGAGGCTTGTTGCGGTTTATATCACTTGGATATCATTCAAGATTCCAGTTAATATAATGTCAATACTTGTGGAATATTTTTACTACAACAGCATAAGTCATTTAAAGCCTGTGACATATGCAGCACTCGCTACATATATTTGCTGTCATTTTGTTGCTCAAGGACATACATGACATTCTGTGTAAAAACCTCAATTATGCTGTTAGTGGTTTTGTAGGTATTTGCGTAATTTCTAAATGTGCCATTTTGGAGCAGAACTCTGCAGATTTATTTTTGAATGACAGAGGCTTGTGTCATTGAGATTAAAACCTTTAATCTCCAAATACAACAAATGGATTTGAAATCCTTGCCACAGACAAATGTTGGCAGCGTGCATAAAAACAATATTAATGCATACTTTGGATACAAGGATGACAGGATAAGTATACATTTGGCACATAAAGCAAAACTGGCTCAGATGTTTGACTGATGCAGAAGTCTGGTATATTTGATCACGTGATCAAGCAGTTTCGATGAAGTCAGACAAGGTCGTCTGTGCTGGACAGATGAGCCCTCTATTGGATTAAACGCAGTTCTGAACCGTAGAAAAATCAGCTTTGTCCTGTTCAAAGTAGATAACCTGCATAGACTGCTTTTCCGCTGTCGGAGCTGTGAATCATCATTTGGTTCTGATGTCTGATTGTGTTTGCGGCTTGGTGTTGTTGTTGTTGGGAAGCGTGAGCTGAAGATTGAGGGTTGATAAAAGGAAGGACTGACTGGCTTTACTGTTCTGAGGCAGGTATTCTGCTGGATTCCACCGGATTCAACAGGTGTTCGTCATATTGTGCCCACCACTTGTTGGGAAAGTGGTGGGAGGGTCAGAGACTAGACAGACACCAGACAGAGGGTGAAAAAGTACGGAAAGAAATCCAACTTGGCTGCGCTCAACTTGTCCAGCGTTTGCAGAGCTCATGCACAGAGATAAATGGATCATAATATTTGCTCCGTGAAGAAAATATATAGGAATTTGTTTTGATTGTGTTCAGTATTTCAAGAATCTCTTAGCAACTAACGTAGTCCTTCTGTGTGCTCGACAGTGGACTTAAAAGGCATAAACAATGGGACGTTTCATTTAGTGCAGGAGGGTGCAATAGATTACTTGGTTGTTTATCAGGTAAGAAACATTTTCATGGTTGCAGCCTCTCAAATACTGAGATTTTCTCTGCTGCTGGTTAGTTTAACTTGTGACTTCTAAGACCGCCACTGGGAGCTCAGTAACATGATGGATATTTAAAAACTTGTATGACAACATAATCAATAAATACACCGTCGCCTGTGAATGTAGGAACACACACACACACACAAAACACACACGCAGTCTGTCTCAATACTCTGTGGAAAGCGGCATCAATGGAACTAATCTCTCCAGCAGGGAATTCCTCGTGGGCCGTCTAATCTTAGGTCGCTTGTGAAAAGATACTGTCTGTTCTATTGTCAGCCCTTATGTCAGAGTGTATTCACACTTGGCTCTAAATGGTGCCATCACCCTCTATTTCCAGGCTGGCAAACAGTGACAGAGTGAGATATTGACATGCGGCTTTTGTTGAGGGAGAGAAAAGGGGATAATGGCATCTAGTTTCCCAGTGAAACAGAGACGCACAGTTTCCTGCTCAGAGAAAGAGATGACCTTAACAGTTTGCCTCTGTCGCATAGAGAAAGAGGGGTTGACGCTGCTTTTTTCTTTGGAAGAGAAATGGACACAGTTTCATTTTGATGGACTGAATGGCCGACTGAAAGACGCAGCTATTGCTTTGTGTAGAAAACTGTAGAAATTTGTCGATTAGAGGCGGCGAGAATGATTGAAATTGGTGAACAAATCGGTTTTTGTAGGTGTTCGCAATGTTTGCTCGTCTTAAGTTGATCCATTTTGCCAGAGATCTGTCACGCTGCTGGTGTGTTTTTGTTATCATGTCTTTATTTATTGAGCACAAATCCACATTATATTGCTTTACATGGACAGCAAGCAAAACAGAGAAGTCATAAAATCATCAGGTTTTGAAGGAAAGACGTGTTTGCGTCCGATGCCACGTGGACGTTGTGCAGTTTCAGCAACTCTGACGATGTTAGCGCCACTTATCGTTGTCGCTGACCCCGCCGTCACTTCCAACGTGTTCTTTTCTATTACAGTACAGATACTGTCAAATATAAACTCAGCTATCCCTCTCTGACATTGTTTTCCATTCTCCTCCATTCAGTTTCAGACAGCAGTTTTATTATCTTTTCAGGTATTTGGTTTGAAAATGGGTTGCACAAAGGTTAATAATCCCTGGCGCATTTAATCTCGACAGTTGCGAAACTGAGGTTTTATAAATCATTGTGTCGGTTTGACGCCATCAGTGTTAGCACGAGCGATAAACTGAGTATTTCAGTGTATTTCTTTAACAACTGCCTGTTAGCTCTGTTGTCTCTCTCTGCCCTTTCCACCCCCTTGTTTTAGTGTCCCTTTCCCTTTCATGTTCCACATCGCTCCCTCTGCTTTTCCTCATCCTTTTTTGTGTTATCACATTCATTGCCTCAGTCTCCCACCTGTCATCCAGGCCCGTACATGTGGTCTGTTGTGTAACACTGCTTTAGTGCTGTCTGTCTGTCTTTAGTCAAGGCTTTGCTATAGATCCCCCAGCAGGCTGAATGAGTCCTCTCAAATAGCATGCTTTCAGCCATTCTCTTTCTATTAGTCCCAAAATACACATCGCTCTGCTCTCCTTTAACATCGAGACCTGAGCCAGTCGAGCTTTGTCTGACCACGATTTTGTCAGTAGCTGTATCAGAAATGCACCGTCTCTGTAATGGATTGCGAGGGACGATGGAGCTGCAACCGCACAGTGCATTATGTGGAACGTAGATTATGTTAACCGCCATTTTTCGTGAACCAAATTTATATTGTTTTCAATCTTTACAATACTTTAGAAGAGTAGATGTTTAAACCATCTAAGTAGAAGTTTGAACTGTACAAATTCATGGAAAGAACACAGGTACATTGTACATTATATGCATTTAAGTGGTGTGAAGCAGTTGAATGAAATAAAAAGTTTATCTTGCAAGTGCGCAAAAAGATAAAAAGGAAAAAGTGAACTCATTGGGCTGTACCAATGTTTCCAAATTGAACTCAAATTTCCGCCACAACAAATACAACCATAAAAATGCATAAAAATAATGTTTGAGGTTCTTAAATGTGCTCATTGGCAGACAAAAAAAGAGACAGTTTTACTGCCAGGTGTTATTTTAAGCAGTTATTGTGTTGCGTTCCTAATTGTGCATGCTCTTAGAACTTGTTTTCACTTTCTGTTTAACCTGTCTGATGTGATGCATTTTTATTTGCATGAAGCACAGGGCAGCTACAGGTCACCAGAAATCAGAAATCTTCTGTATCTTCATTAAAATGCATCCGAATTAGGACATTTACCTTCATTTTCCTACAGCACTTCTTTTTTGTCTTTCAGTTTGTCTCGGAAAAATGCTGTTTTCACTTTTTCTTTCATGGTGTCAGATTTTACGCAGATATTTTATTCCCATGAGATTATTTTTTTCTCCCTTAATTTTCCTGCCTTTGCCTCGTATTTGAATCTCACTCGTGTCACCGGTTGCTCGCAGTCTCTCTCTGCTCGACTGCTCGCGTCTCCTCCGTCCTCTCTAATCCGGTCCTGCTGTGTCTCTTTTAGCTTCTAGCGCACAAACACACTCATATTTCACTGCAGGTGGTGAGGAGTGCAGTTTTCTGCCCTGGATTCTTGTTTAGCTGGTCTTTATATCCTCCCTTTATCTACTGCGTTGATGCCTTTTTTTTTTTTAGGCCTCCCTCGTTGGCAGTCTGTCTCAATTTTTACCTGACAATGCAGTATAGCAGCATGTTAAATGTCGGCGAGACTGGAGGTTTCCACCTTGAACTGCTCTCATGGTATCATAGAGCAGCACTGGCACCTTTTTCAGTTTCAATCTGCGTCATATGACGGTGCTGTCTGTGTGTGCATATTTGTGTATTTTCACATGCATACAAGCCAGATGCATGCATGTGACTTTTTCTTTTTGTGTGCACATATACAACCATGTGTACAAACAAGTCCGTTCTACCATTGCAGTGAGTTGCAGTGGGAAGTCTATGCCCTCAGGCTGGTTAGTCTGTGCTAAATCAAACATGTCACCTAAATATGCAGAAGCAAATGGCAGATCCTTAACCATAACCAGGCCAGCCTTTCAGTGTGTCACAGGCTTTGCTATTGTACTCTCTATATTTGGCTTCAACCGCAGTTTTTCTAAAGTTGAAGGTAAGTGGCTTCAGCTTTCACAAACCAGCGGAATGATTTCATTGTGAAAAATTGATTTATTGTATTACAAACCACCAAGCACCTCAGTAATATTAATAGTTTTCTTTATTGGCGATTCTTTCTCCGGAGTTTGAGCTAAATGAAAATCCGCTCCGTCCTGTTGTTTGCTCTGGTGGGCTCGTGGAAATTGAACGTCTAGATAATACACAACGCTGATCCGAGTGCCAATTTTCATGGAAATATATTCATAAGTTTGTGTGAAAATCTGCTGAGACAGGGGCTTTCAAACTTGTAGGTCAAGACAAGGATTTCCTGTCTTGTTAATGTTATTGAATATTTGCAGCCTGTATTTCGTCT